AAGTTGAGGGAGTGAGCTGTGTGTCTCTCTGGGGGAACAGCCAGTTCAGGGGACAAGAGGGGTAGCCAAGGAGTGTGTTGGTGATAGCAAGAAAATAAATATCTTTTTAAAAGAGTATCCATATAAATAGAGAAGCTGGAGGTAAAAAAACACTGGATGAGTTTTTGTTTGTTTGTTTGTTTGTTTTAATTTGGCAAAATAACATGAATAGTGTATGTTGAAGGAAACGCTAAGTGGGTGTGCAGGGGAGAGAAGAAAGACTTGCTTGAGCAAATCAGGAAGTAGGACAGGAAGGGTTCTCCGCCTTGTAGGTTCTAATTGCCATGGCAATAATACAATTTTGCTGTAGCCCTGCGGCAGGCAGGGGGGCTGCTTGTGAAGTCAGGATCACCAGGCTTTGTGGCTTCAAGGAGGCCTAATCACTGTGGACTTGCTTGGGCTTGGAAGTGCGGCCTCGTGGGCCCGCAGAGTGCGACTTGGTGGTCTGACTGAGCTGCACGTGAGGGCCCGGTGCAGCCTGGCATGGTGGTACCCTTGAGAGCATGGCCTGGAGGGCTCCGAGGTGCAGCCTGGCCAGTGTGGTCTGGAAGAGCCTGGCAAGTGCTATCTGGAGCACTCGGAGGTGTGGCCTGGTGGTCTGGGTGGGTCTAGTGAGCGTGGCTTGGAGTGCTGGGTTGTGTGGCCTGGCTGGCACTGAGGTCCCTGCGGATTCTGGAGAACCTGAAGGTGCGGCTCCAGGGGTGCGGCCAAGTGTGGTGTGGTGTGTGGTGTGGAGGGCCCGTGTGTGCAACCTGGTGGTTACTGTAAGCATGGTTTGGAGGGCCTGGTGAATGTGTCCTGGTAGGCCTGGTGAGTGTGTAAGCATGGCCTAGAGTGTCACCAGACCAAACCGGACCCCTCTGCCAGTGCACCAGGGAAAGCCAAACACCGAAGTGCAGGGTTTTTGCTGGGGAGTGTGGACTGCACTGCGACGAGACAGGAAGAAAGCTCAAACCTGTAGCCCCAAGCTGGGGGCTGGGTGGGGTTTTATAAGCTTATGGTAATAAGGTGTGATCTGATTGGATCTTGCAATTAGATGACACCAGGGCTCTATCTGATTGGATCCTGGATCTTGCCTTGCGGTGTGCGCTTCTTCAGTCCCGCTCCTCAGTCCTAGCGCTTAGATTCCCCCCGTGTTGCAAGCTTGGTTCATCTGGGCAGGCTCCGGTGACGTGATCTCAAACTGGGAGCCCTGGCGGCTGAAAAACAACAAACAACTCTGTACATAAAAGATACAGCTTGGTCTAATGTGGTTCTAAAGAGGCTCTGCCAGCGAGTCCTAGGGGTTCCGGCGCGCAGCCCTGCGAACCTGGAGCTTAGGGTCCGCAGTCTGGGAGGCCGAGGCCTGGCATGTTGGGGACAGGCTGGGGGCCTGGCGTGGTGGCGGCAGCCCGCAGTCGTTGCCCGGCGCTTCTCTGGGAGGCCGCGGTTCTCCGCGGCTCTCGCCGGTGTCTGCCCTTGGCCACTGGGCTGCGAGGAAGCCGGTGAGGGGTGGGTGTGCGCCCCGCCCGGGTCTACCGCCGAGGGATGCAGTGGCCGCCAGCGTGGCCGTGCGGCTGGGTCACTCCCTTCCCGCTTCCAGGGCTTTTTTTCAGCCTCCTTTTCAGGACGTGACCCGCACATTATTAGGGACTCGCAGGGGCTCTTGGCACAGAGGGGTCACCCTGTGTGCGAACAGGACACGAGGTTGGGGGCTTGCCTTCTGAAGCTGCCAGGAGACGCTGCATTCCTTTGCCTGTAGCGGCCGCCCCCCATCCTCCACCCACCCCATTCCCCTCCTCCCCCAACTGCAGTCTTCCACGCCTCCTGGGCTCCTCGAGCCTCCCTGGGTCCCTTGCACCTCCCGATGTCCCCCACGACTCCTGGCTCTCGCGCTTCTCCAGGACCCCTTGCCTCCTGGGCCTCTTGCGCCTCCCCGGTCCTCCGCGCCTCCTCGGCCCCCGTGCATCCCCGCACCCTTTGCGCCTCCTGGGGTTCCGTGCCTCTGGAGGCTTCCTTGCCTTCCGCCCCGCGCCTCGCCACACCCCTCGCCTCCTCATGCTCCTCCGGCCCCCACACCTCCCCACCCTTTTGCCTCTCTGCCTATCCCCTGTACCACCCGGCGCCCTCCACGCCCCATGCGCCTCCCCCGTCGCGCCTCCCCCGTCGCGCCTCCCCCTTTGCGCCTCCCCCTTCGCGCCTCCCCCTTCGCGCCTCCCCCTTTCGCGCCTCCCTGTACTCTTCATGCCCCGTGTGCCTGCTGCGCCCCACGCGCCTTCCGCGTCTCCAGCCCTCACGCACTTCCAGCTGCGCGTCTCCCTAGGCGGGTACTTCGGCACCGCTGAGCCCGCCCCGGCCCCTGCTGAGTGCCTCCCAGACACGCCCACTGCAGGCGGGACTCGGGGAGCTGTCCAGGCGCGGGAGCTGTCCAGGCGCAGGAGCTGTCCAGGCGCGGAAGCTGTCCAGGCGCAGGAGCTGTCCAGGCGAGGGAGCTGTCCACGGGGCACTGTCCTTGGTTTCAGAGCCTCTGCAGGACTTCTGTGTCCTTTTGGCTGAGCCGACCGGGCAAAGGTTTTAGAAAAGACCCTGGGTGTTGCAGATGGGGAAGGATGATCCTGGCCGTCTTTTGCACCCAGGCAGAAGAACCACTGGGCCATCAGTCTGGTGCTGTGGGGCAGCGCTGACTTTTGGTTCGCCCCTGCCCCAAGACTTCAGGTGTATATGGGATTGGATCAGCTGTCATCCCGAGCTCATGACACATACAGTGATCCATGTGGTAATCCGTGGACTAACCTTTTTCCTTTTAAAAAATTAGTTGTTTTGTGTAATATAGTGAGCCCTGTTACCAACAAAAATCTAGGATCTTGGTAGTAACCACTGTCTGTTTTGCTTTTCCCTCTTTGACTTCCCACTAGAAGTAATCGTTAGCTCCCATCTTGTATTAAATTTTTTTTTTACTGTATCTAATTTCCAAAAAAAAAATCTGTGTGTGTATGCAACTAACTTTATTAAAGTGTGTATCTTCCTATGTGTAACTCTTTGGGACTTAAATGATAACAGTAATATTACTACAAATCAACCATATTGTTGTTTTTCACTGTGTTTTATTCCTTCTGGATGCTGTAATATTTTATTGCGTGGATCTGCCAAAGTTAATTTATCCACTCTTCTGTTGATGGGCCTTTGGTTATTTCCAGGTTTTTGCTCTTCAGAAGAGTGGAATAACTGAGTGGAATAACTAGGCCATAGGGCACACAAATGTTCAATTTTAGGACATAATGTCCTGCTGACTTACATAGTTGTTGAACCAGTTAACATTTCACTAGCAATACTGGAGAGCTCTGAGCCATCTCACGTCTGACACTTGGTATTTAATTTTTGCCAGAGGGATGGCTGTAAACGGTATACCATTTTGGTCTTGATTTGAAATTCCTTGATCACCAGTAACATTGAACATCTCTTAACATATTTATTGATGTACGTTTTTCTTCGGTTTGCTTGATCATGTCTTGTTCATTTTATATTTGGTTTCTATTGCGTGTGACCTAGATTAGAATTTTTTCTTTTCATTGGATATTAAAATCCACCATTGTGTGGCTAGGTGTGGATTTTTCCTTCTCTCTCCTTTCTGGCGTGGTGTGTGCTTTCTCAGTCAGAGGTAATTCATCGTCCTTTATTTCCTGGAATTATACATAAAAAATTCTTTTTCTTATTTGTTTGCATGTGAATGTATGTAGAAATTCTTGATGCTGGTTCTTTGCCAGTTCTGTGTTTTTCCCAGTTTATAAGTTCTGTTTTCTTTAAACTATTTTTTGATGAGTATAAACTCTTAAATTGAATAGGTCAACCTTATTAATCATTTTGAGTCATAAGAAATCTTTCTCTATCTTAAGATTTCTGCCAAGTTTTGAAGTTTGTATTTTGATGTTTACATCTTTAATCCATTTAGACAGGGGTGTCCAATCTTTTGGCTTCCCTAGGCCACATTGGAAGAATAATTATCTTTGGCCACACCTAAAATACACTAATACTCATAATACTTAATGATCTAAAAAAAAAATCACAAAAAATATCATAATGTTTTAAGAAAGTTTACAAGTTTGTGTTGGGCTGCATTCAAAGCCCTTCTGGGCTGTATGTGGCCCACGGGCCATGGGTTGGACAAGCTTGTGTTTAGAGTTGGTTTTTGTACCCAGTACTGGATAGAGATCCAATTTTGTCTTTTTCCATATGGATAACCATTTTGTTTCCAGTTCTGTTTTTATTTCCAGTTCTGCTTATTGAACAGCCTCCTCTTTTCCCTGATCTATTACTTCTGTCATAATCAAAGTTTAATTCACATTTGTGTCTCTGTGCTCTCTCTTCTAGTCAATTGGTCTCTATTCTAGTCTTCTGATCAGTTTATTCCTATGCCAACCCCCATCATGTTGATTTTTACATAGACTTTTTATTCTGGACTGTTATAGTTATGTCCCAGACAAACAGAGATGTGGTCACTGTACTTGTAGGCCTTTCTAGAGAATGTTGATTTTGTAGCATATGTGATGGGAAGTATTGAAAAATTTCAGTGGCTGAGTTATATATTCTGATTTGTATTTTTGAAGATCACACTGGTGCAAGATGGATGAGGAAGTGAGGCTGGTGAGGGATGAGACTAGTCTGGAGGCATGGGGAGCAGTTAGGTGGCCAGTGCTGGAGCGCAGGTAGTGGTTTTAGCGGGAGTAGAGGTGGAGAAATGTGGACAGATTTGAGATGGGCATATAGCTGTGGACCTTTCTGATGTATGGAAAGCAGCAGACAAGGTAAAGATAATGTAATGGGGATGCCACTCCTGAGATGGAAAATTCTGGGAAAGGAAAGTTTTATAAATTTATAAGCTGTCAGATAAATTATAATGCTACTTTTAATTTGCTTTTTCTTGGAAATAGCTGTTTGGTTATGTATATTTTATAGCTTGTTCACTCTCTTTTCTCTCCAAATAGGTGACTCTGTTTTGAGAAGTGCAACCAGATCTCTCCTGGAATTCAACACAACAGTGAGCTGTGACCGGCCAGGCACAAATCACAGAGTCCAGAGCAGCATTGCCTTCCTGTGTGGGAAAACCCTGGTGAGTCCACACAGACACTTGATGTATTTCTTTAAAAAAAAAAAAAAATGTCTGCCCCTTGGTATTCTGGCTGTAGAGGTATTCCAGGAAGAATCAGTAAGCAAACTTAGAAACACAAATAAGAAAAACCCTACCAAATCACCATCACCATCAAGAACCAATAAGTAAACAAATTCTAAACTTGTTACAACTTTTAAGTAAAACATGGACCACGTCTTTTGTAAAACTACAATTAAGTGTGATTAGTGTGGTAAAAATCAGTGCACTGTTTAATGTTTATGTTATAGGCATATTTTTTTTTTTCTAAAACCTCTTCTCCTAGCATTTCATTTTGATGGGTTTTAGAGCAGCGTATTTAGTTTTTTTGAAAATACTTTTCTTTCCTCATTTATATTAAATTAGAGATAGCCACATCTGTTTAGGAGAAGCCTTGGCCCGTGGGTATGGGGTTCTCAAGTTTTTTGGATATTACCTGGTGTTTAAAGAGGACATCATTGTGTAAATTATTATGATTGTTCTTATGGGCATATTGTATGTAATTTGTTATTTTTAATCTTTAGTTTTTGGAAAGGAACTTGCAGTAAATAATTGTTTTAGCTCTTGGGAGAAGGAATTGTTATACAAATTCTATGAATGTTCTTGAATCAGAGTAAGAACCCAATCCTTAGGAAAGTCAGGTCGAGTGAAACTCTGTGGCTACAAAATTGCTTTAAAATATCATTTTAGAGTTTGGGACTGTGACTGTTGGATCTTCAGATCCACAGTGTCTCATCTGAAGAACTTTGCAAATAAAACTAACATTGTTAATTTTGGATCCGCTTATGAAGTGCATCGTTGTGCATATTGAGACCTTAAAAAATAAAAGAATCTGTGTGCAGCGGCATTAAATGAGAAGATTTATATTACAGAATAAAATATATAGCTGCTGTTTTAACTTTAACTAATTTCCTTTATGAATTCTGTGTTCACCATACCAGAAGTAGAACTGTGAAGGATAACTCCCTAGACTTGCCCGTGGGAGCGTAGAGGCAGTTCCTGCTGTGCCTGTGTCACCCTGCTCTGCTGTGATCGGCCTGTTTGTAGTCCACTCTGGTCGAGGTTAACAGGAGGGGCTGCCTTGGAGGGTGGGCGTCTGGTGGATGTACTAACTTGATCAGATGCAGATGGGCTTCTCATGGGAGCCTTTTCACGGGAAGCATGAGGTCATGTTTCCTGGCTTTGGTTTGCTGGCATTTGCTTAAGAGAACATTTGGAGTTTGAGAGGAGAGTGACCGAGGATTTCTTCCCATGAACTCAATCACTGTACTTGCATAGCTGGGGCGGTAGAATGCTTTTGGATTAGTTACACAAAATCCCAACATGATTTTATGAAGCTTTGGTCTCAGCATTTTCAGATTTGGGAACGTCTTGATGACCCTGTTTAACTAAAGTGGTTGCATCCCCTGCCCTTCTTGCTGCTGCTTTCTTTATTTTAGTAGCCTTTACTGCATTCTAATTTTAAAGAAGAATCTTTACAATGTGTGGCATGGTAACTTATTATAATTGTTATTATTTTTTAATAGGGAACTCCTGAATTTGTAACCGCAACAGAATGTGTGCACTACTTTGAGTGGAGGACCACTGCAGCCTGCAAGAAAGACATATTTAAAGCAAAAAAGGAGGTAACACGGGAACTTCAAACTTATATGCTTATGAAGTATACTCCGGGGAGCTTTACCTTTCAAATACTCATTCTGACCTTTTGGGGTGAAAATCTTTTTTAGCTTCGAAATTGCATTTGAGCAGAGATACCATGTGATTTAATTTTTTAAAACTTGTCTGAGTGATTCTTATTTTTAGGACAGGGCATTTAAAATATCACAGGATGTGATTTTTGGTCCAGATTGGAAATAGAATGGCTCATCCATATAGGGCAAGTTAGTTCTTGGTTTCTGGTGCTGTGCAACTCAGTAAACCAAGTGGCGTGGTTGGGCTTGGGCTTAGAGTATTCACTCTCCCTGCAGGGGCCATCTGTTTCTGACGCTGACTGCTTCATCTTCCTTTGCACCTGGTGTTCCACCTGTGTTGCACCCCGCTCTGATAAGTCTCCTTTACCTTTTGCATTGTTAAATCTGTCTGTCCCTCTCCGCAGCCTTGGGATGACTTCTGGCTGCAATGTGAGTCCAGGCCACGTGCCCCTTAAATTCTTTTCCAGCTGACCTCAGAGACTAGGTCTCTAGGTTACTGTTATTGTTACGTCCACTCCTTGTTATTAGAACACAGCATTCCTTGGTCAAGACATTCTTCTTGGGTGGGTGTATGTATATATATCTGTATACGTACACACCGACCTATATGTATTTATTATGTGCAACATGATGTTTTGAAATTGAGAAATGGCTACATTGAGCTAATTACATATGCATTAGCTCACATACCTCCTTTTTTGGTTGTGAGGACACTTAAAATCTACTTTCTTAGTGATATGCAAGAGTAAATTACATTGTTATTAACTGTGGTTGTGGTGGTGTGTAATGGACCTCTCGGGCAGGCCACTCTTGTTGACTAATGAAATGTCCCCTTCCCCAGCCTGGACTCCCTGATGTTGCACTGCTGCTTGATTCTCCCTGGTCCTGGGGAAGAGCAGACCGTGTTCCTTCTGCCGCTTCTCCATGCCCACCACCCGAAATCCTAAAGGGAGTTTTCTTTTCTCACCTGGATCACAATCTTAATTAATTATCTCACTTTTCTCTATTACTTTCTGTTTTTAAGAATTTTCAAAGGTTGTAAGGATTCAGGAACTAATGAATGGTCATAATAATTTTTACTGGTGGCCTAATACCATGCAGTTTAATAAGGCAAAAAGAAATGTTTATTTAAAAGCATTAATTCAGATTAAATTATGAATAATAAATCACTGATTTTTTCAGATACGGTCATCTCTGAAGGGAAAGATAGTTTCATATGGAAGTGGAAGTGGTAAAATACTGCCTCCCAGAAAAACCATAAGGAGCATTCAATGAAAAAAAACAAAAGTTTAAAGTGGAAAGAATTAAGGCTGATATTTAGGAGGTAGTGTCAAAGGTAAACTTCATTTAAAAACTCAGGTGCAGCTGTTAGATGACATACTGTTAGTGGTAGGAAAAGCATCTCAAAACAGACATCTGCTTGGGGCTTGGGGGCGAGGATGGGAGCAGTGTGTTCATTCTCGCAGTGCTATAAGGAAACACCTGAGACTGGGTAATTTATAAAGAAAAGAGGTATAATTGGCTCACAGTTCTGCAGGCTGTACAGGAAGCACAATGGCAGCATCTGCTTCTGGAGAGGCGTCAGGAAACTTACAGTCACGGCAGAAGGCAAAGGAGTATCGAGCACCTCACATGGCCAGAGCCTGAGGAAGAGAGTGGGAGCGCGAGGTGCCACCCACTTTTAAATGACCAGATCTCACAAGAACTCACTCACTATCATGAGAACAGCAAGGAGAGGGAGATGGAATCTGCCCCTGTGATCCAGTCACCTCACCAGGCCCCACCTCCAATGTTGAGGATTACAGTTTGACACGAGATTTGGGCAGGGACACACAGTTATCCTGGGATTACAGGCATGAGCCGCCACACCACCATGCCTGGCTAATTTTATTTATATGTGTGTGTGTGTGTATTTTTTTTTTTTAGTAGATACGGGGTTTCTCCTTGTTGGTCAGGCTGGTCTTGAACTCCTGACCTCAGGTGATCTGCCTGCCTCAGCCTCCCAAAGTGTTGAGATTACAGGAGTGAGCCACCACGCCCAGCCCCACACACAGTCATCCTCAAGTGTCCAGTTGGTCGGATCTGAGTTGCTTCCTGTGGGAGGTGGAGGCTGCGGCGACAGCAGTGCCCTCTGCTCGCTTGCTAGACCCCAGACTTCTCAGTCCCACAGATACTCTCCTGGGCTCTGATTTTCCAACCTGATCATGATACCCTTCGTTTTGTTTTGTTTTTTGTTTTATGTGAGTGTACCTCTTACCTCACGTTGCTGAATTGGCAGTTGTGTCTTCTACCACCTAGGAAAAAATTGCTTTCCAAAATGAATAGCAATTTGTTTTCTGTGGGTCAGAAATCACCAACTACAGCCCATGGTTCAAAGCCTGCCCTGGCTCTTTTTTTTTGTACAAGCCCAGAACTAAGAATGGTTTTCACATTTTTACAGGATTGTTACAAAACAAAGAGGAATATGCCGCAGAGACCTATGTGGCCTACAAAACCCAAAATGTAGATAGCATGTGGCCCTTTGTAAAAGAAAGTGTGCTGATCTGTGTTCTCAATAGTTTTTGGGGTGGGAGTGGGGAGGTATAGTCTGAGTTTTTCTCAAAACAATGACTTGTAATTTCTCTTAAAAGCAGATTGAAGATGCATGAGAAACGTTTGTAATTTGTACTTCTTATCTCTTCAGGTGTAGTTGGCATCTGGGGCTTTATTCATTGAGTTTTCATTTATTGAGAGCCTATTGTGAGCTAAGCAGTAGAAATTTTGTTAAATTTTGGAATGCTTTCAGGGAGCCTATAGACTAATGGTGTGGAGGACATACTCATATTCACTAACTCATTTTTTTTGTCTTAAGATAGATTAAATGGAAAGAACTGAAAAGCATAATGATTGCTAAAAATGTAGTGCTCTCCCTGTTAGCAAATCTTAATAAAGCGTATGCCCTTTTTTCTGTTTTCAGTTTGATTTGATTACACCTTACAGGCTATGATATGATAACTTTAAAACATATTGAAGGTTTATGTACTTATAAAACACTCATCATTCCCTAAAGAAGAAAAAATCTCAGTTTGGTTTAGCGTCAGTATAGTCTTGCTTTCTACACCTTACTAATATCTCATTTATTTATTCGTTTTGCTCTGTCACTTTTAGAATGATTTCGATGGACAAAAATCTTGGTAGTTCCAAACAGCGCCTTTAAAACTATTGTTATAGTTTGTTCAGTGGATTCTGGTAGGGGCTTTAAGATAATTATTTCTTTAAAGCATTGTGTAAATATACCTCCCACCTTAGTGCCCTTGGGAACAGGCAAAATTCAGAACTGGCCTGCTAGCAGTCTTACCAGGGTTATAAAAGTAAAATTATTATATACGAAACAGCATTAACTCAATGTGTGGTGTGTTGCAGCTGGCAAGCAACCTCGCTCCCCAGGCTGCTAAATTCATGGTCTTATGAATGTCTCCATTGCTGTGTTTGCTGTAGCAGGAAGTGGGAGGACGTTCCCCAGTAGCCTTGACTGTTTTTCCTATGCACATTCCAATTTTGTGGAGTGCTGTGTGAGGCATGTCTTTTCTTCCCTCCCGGAGTGGGGAGATAGCCAGAAGTTGCTACCTGCCCCGTGGAGGGTACTTGCAGATCTTGCTGACTTGGAATCCTCTAAGTGTCTTGATGAAATGGAGCTATTTTCAGAACGAAGAGTTCTTTCATTTTCCCTTCGTGCCATATGCCATCTTGCTCCCTTTTCTATCGTAGGCTTTTATTTTGCTGGTTAGAGAGTTGCATCTCATCTTGAATCCTACCCAGTCCACTGACTCACTCCCCTCTTGGGTTAATGTTTTCGTATAATCTTGCTGTGGGATGACAAGCTTTAGATTTTGCAGGATAATAGGCACTTGTGGCTTTTTGCTGTAACCCAATTATAGTCTGTGGCAATAATTTTCTTTTATTTTCATTGCCTTTCTGCGTGAATGTGGTGGTAGGCTTAAGCTCCATGTGCTGGTACCCTGTGAGCTCTAGAGGTTCTAACGTCCTCCATTATTAGTAGAAACACTTAGGTGTCTGGGAAGTATTTTAGGCGACAGGCGACTTTGCTTTGAGGATATGGTCGAAATGAGCTCGAGTGCCTTTGAGGCTGTGAGTAGGTGTAGGTCGTTTGATTCACTCTATTAGCTGTCCATGAATCTCTGACAGCAGGACTGGGGAAAAAGGTTAGTGGGTTAGAGCGTTCCTGCAGATTTGATAGCCTACTTCTAAGAGAAATTTGAAAGCTAAATATTAAGCAGTTAACTTAATAAATAGACCCATCTGTGAATAGCTTCAGTCTAAAAAATAAAATTTTGGGAAATTTATCCACAGAAAATAATAAAACTATCTACTTTGAAATGATGGCAGAGAACACGAATTTTTAGAATATTCTTTGGAAGAGGTAATTGAAATGATGCCAGTGTGTTATTTTGGAAATAAAACTTACAGGAATGTTTCACATAGTCGTGGTTCACTTGGTGACCGGGGCCTTTTTTACCCTGGGTGGGGGTTCGTCTTTGGCTTGAGTTCTTGCTGTGATGTGGAAGTTGGGCGCCCCTACTTCATGAAACTGTACTGCAGAGGTGTGGCCTCAGAGCCATGGTTTCTGTCCTGGGCAGGGAGTCTTGCAGCCTGGGGCCGTTTCACTATCTGAGCACAGACCCTGATGTAGTTTGGATTTTGTCCCTGCCCAAATCTCACGTTGAATTTTAATCCCTAGTGTTGGAGGTGGGGCCTGGTGGAAGGTGATTAAATCATGGGGGTCCCTCATAAATGGTTTAGCACCATCCGCTCGGTGCTGTCCTCATGATAGTGAGTGAATTCTCATGAGATCTGGTGGTTTGAAACTTTCTGGTTGTTTCACTCTCACTCTCTTGTTCCTGCTTTTGCCGTGTGATATGCTTGCTCCTACTTCA